TTGAGAAGTATTGGCAGGAATCTTCACTCCACCAGAACTGCTAGACAACTTGCACATTAGAGCTGCCCTGATTCGGACTACCTGTGCTGTTTCACACTGAACGACTTCGTTTTTTTTGCAGCGGAAGCCTGCAAGAAGGCCGAAATCAAAAATGCACAGGCTACGCGGCACATGCCGGAATTGCGACAGCACCAAGCCCAGAAAGGGTCGGACCAAGAGCAGCATCGCTTTGAGACCTGTCAGGAGAGGGCTAGAGTTCAGGATTGTTTAGGTTTAAGGCTGTAAGGCTGAACGGCAACTCAGCATATGCTTCGAGGACGTTGGCCTGGAGTTTAGACGCACTGAGCAATGCCCCGTCACAAGCTCAGCCGTGGCTTTGTAGTCCAAAACTTGCCTTCTCTCCCCTTCAATCAAGGCAATTCTCACATTAAAAATAGTCATACAAACAATAAGAAGAAGAAGAACCCTCAAAACTCAACACCATGACGAGAAGACCCTGCCTCAGGAGCCCCAGGGGCAACTCGGGCGCAGCCGGAGGGAAGAAGAAGGCCTGCCATCTTCCCAATGCTGGCGATGGATCAAGAGCAAGCGAACCCAATAACCTTCATCAACACACTATGAGAGCAACATCTACGAGAAAAAGGGACTAACACCGAGTCATGCTTCCACACAGGAGCTGGCAAGCTCACTTGCGCCGCAGCCATCGAACGATGACCAATGCAGCAAGCCACCCGCACAACGGCAAGCAGGCAAAATCCCTATCGCTTCGGTTCTGCAAGGTCGGTCGCTGGGTGCCCATCTTCCAGGCGCGTAGGGCGGGGAGGCAGCAACGTAATGTAACAATATGTTAGTAGCAGGAATACTAAATCTAGTAATCCAATAATCTAACAATCTAAGAGTCTACTAATCCCAAAATCAGATGCTCTAACAATCTAATGGTCTAAGCATCTAAAAATCGAGTCATCTAATCATCTAAAAACCCCATAATCTAATAATCTAAGACTTGTACACGAAAACCACCCGAGTCTGCCTCCTTGTTCACATTCTTCATGAGACCATGCCCCATAGTTGCACCCAACACGGGCTGCCTCGGCGATGAACAGCAAAACCGTCTCAATCACTTTCAAAACCTCCACTGAGCAGCGGGCGGTGAGCCCAGGCCCAGGCCGCCGCCCAGGCTAGGTGGGTGGTACCTCCAGGGCCCATTTCTCGGATCATGGTGGATGATGGTTGTTTTCGCACTGTTTCGCACTCTCCCTTCCTTGTTTCAAAGGCCCCCTCTCCTAGGCACGTGCAAATGCAGAGCCAAAACCCCGGGGCTGTGCAACCGTGCCTGGGGTCTCTGCCGAAGCCCAATGCCTGGAGGCCAGGCTGTGGATCGACTCTACTTGAGTAGAAAAAAACTCAGCGGGGGCTGCCACCCAGCTGCCAAAGGGCTCACAGAGTCTTGAAGCAGAGTTTGCAGACGTCTTGGAACAAGGGGCCTCGTACTTCCGCATGCGGAGCTGTGCCGGCGGTGCTGGGGGAGCCTCCCATGCAAGCTGCCCGGAGTTGAAAGACATAAGAGCCAGAGCAAGGCGGAGGAAGTGTGAAAATGAAAGCTGCGTGTTTGTGTATACATATATATGTATACATAATATGTATATGTACGGACAGTATAGAGCATGCGAGCATGAACACAAGAATTGCCCTGTCCGGTATCACTTATGAATATTAGAGCCGCTGAACTCTCATCGTGCCAACTCCTACTAAGTCCTACTGTGGCTGCGGCCTTCTGTGAAGGGTTTGCAGCCAGAGTGCGCCTTGGGAGCGACATGCTAGAGAAAGCCTATTGCAGTGGCTTGTCAGCCTTGTCTTCCAGCATCTCTGACAACAGCAAACCTCCGGTGGTCATGTTCAAGAATGGCCACATGCTCTGGGAGCCGGGACTGTGCCTCAGGGATGAGGCGTGCGGATTGAGGTTTTCGCAGTACCCAACGGTCTGACGTAGGTCCGGGGGACCTATTCTCCTTCAAGACATTGCCCCACGGAAGACCGAAACCCGGAAATGCCCCCCAGTTCTTCACAACCCTGGGTCCGGAGCTCGCCGTCTCCTGGAGCTGCACCTCTCCCCCCCAAGATTATCCAAGAAGTCTCCCAAACATCCCTGCATAAGGAGTGGTTTGTGATTATAGGGCCTCCGGTTCAAAGCTTGGGCCACCATGTGGAGGGTTTGGGGGAGGGGCCATCGGCGCAGGTGTCCAGGCCTTGCCTACGAACGACGACTGCTTCGTGGTGCCGTGAAGATCCACGTGCCAACGAAATCTCCAGGAAGCTCGCTTAGGCAAACTTCCCTCTCCGGCAGCGGATCCTGAGCCTCACCCACAAGAATTGTCTACAGGGCCCCCTCCATCGAAAACATTGAGAGACTCCCTTTTAAAGCGGCCCAAACGTGTCTGGAATGCCTCCAGCAGCTATATTGTTACATTTTTGGCTGATTATCTTGTATGATCATTTTGTACAAATGGTATACTCGTATATCATCGTCAAGCTAGTGTCCATTCAACCCGACCTGGATAGGCAACTGCCGCCGGCCCACGTCCTCGGCTTGCGACGTTCTTGCGAGAAGCGCCAATGACAAAACCTAAGATACCTTTTGAATAGCGGCGTTCTCGACGTCCCGTATCGATAGATCGCAGGATCGTGGGCCATCCTAAAACATCCCAGAACCTCCCAGCCGTCGGTCCTTGCGGAATCTGAGGCAGCGCCGGGCCAGACGGCGGCACCTGCAGGGTGTACCAGGTTCAGGCACCGGCTTAAAGCTTAGGCATTGACAGGTCTAGGCCCTTTAGGCCTGTTAGTCCCTGTAGTCCCTTTAGGGGGTTTCGGTTTTACACCACGACTTCAGGGCTTCGCGGTCTACGGTTTTGGACAGATGATTCTGCGTTGTGCTCCGCACAACATAATCTTGACAGCTGGCTCTGGGCAGCAAGGAAACCCCCCTTTCGCCTTAAAACATCCATGATTGCCACTCACTCCCATTATTTTGGAGTGGCAACACAGATGTCACGGACAGCACCGTGATGCATCACACCGCCTGATCACGCTCACGCATTCCATCCTCGCCTCGGGAACCCCAACCCCGACACTGCCAGCGCCTCGCCACCAGGCGGTCCGGAACCTGGTGGGGCCTCAGCAACAAATTTTGAGCAACTGAAAATAACTGCATCTTGGCCGTCTTAGCCGAGCATATAGATGTATTGTACACGCACAGAAAGAATGGTTGTTGCCGGTGAAAGCAACTTAGCACAACCGCCAGTTGTAGTTCATTATCTTCAGATGCCAGAACATGTAAAAAAAAAAACAATAAATAATGAATGCAACAATAAATATTAATATAGATCAACAAATATATATATATATATATATATACATATATATATATACATATTAAATACATATTAATATAAATAGAAATACAAATACAAATACAAATACAAATACAAATATAAATATAAATATATAAGTATATATACGTATATACGTATATAAACCTTAACGTATATGTGTCTGTCTGCCTGTCTGCGTCTGTCTGCCTGCCTGCCTGCCTGCCTGTCCGTCTCTGTCTGTATGTATGCGTATACGTACATATGTTTCGCACCAAGCGAACCGCCTGACGCAATTCTCTTCGCGGACATTCGCGGAGCCTATCTTCGACAAGTGTTGGTTCGTAAAGCAACGCCATGTTCACACCGAAGTCCTGATCTTCCAGCTATTGATACACTTAGAAGAGCTCATCAGTAGGGAAGCGTTATTTCAAGGACAGGGTCTTCAGAAGCACCAGGGAAATCCCTTACACAGTGGGTATACGGCTTCCGTGGCAGCTGTGACTTACGCCGAAACTTGCAAAGACTTTCGCGAGACATCAAGGACTATAAGGGGGCGATGAATGGTTGTTGTATATTCAACCGAATCCAGGGGGCTTGTGAACAACCCTGACTCAAACCCTGAACCCTAAACCCTAAACCCAAAACCCTGAACTTTACCAAAAAAAGCCAGGCTGGGGTCCGCACAGCTGAGGACGAGGGATTGGGGGGTGAAGCCTGACTTGCAGCCCGTGTGCACGACTTGCGCACAATCTGCAGAAGCACGGCAACTTGGCTCATCCCCCCGGTTATGAACTTCCTGTCCGTGCCCAATACCCGCACACTCTGAAGTGGAGTCGAACTCCAACTTGCCCCCAAGGCTGCCACACTGCCATCTTGCGACATGCTGCCGCCTGCAACAACATCGTTCTGCCTCTTAGAAGTAAGAATGAAGCTACATCTGTGCGAACAACGAGCTATTGCCGAATGGCAAAGTGCGAACAACGAGCTATTGCCGCATATTGGCACCAGTAGGCACCTCCGTTTGTGAAGGGGAATGGGCAGTGATGTCAACAGCGGTTCCAACAGCCTCTGCCACGAAAGCTGCTGTCGAGGGCCACCTATCATGTCCAGTGAGCGGGGAGAAGTGCAAAAGGTCTCACATAAGACCCAGAGTCCCCGGACTTTGGCTGATGGTTGTCGAGAGTTGTGTGCGTTTAGGATCGGGATGTTGCAGAATCTCTCGCAGTCTTGGGTTGGGCTGCGCTGAGCCTGACACGGCCCCTAAGCACACCACCGACCCTGATGGCCCATGACGACCCGTTCAAATCATCGCTATGCACCGTTGACAGCGGCCCTCGTGCTGATTGCCTTCTTATTCGTGACGTCGAGTATGTTTTGCAGGTCTGCTTGGCCATTGAAAGAAGCGAAATGAGCACAGACTCGTCTCCTCTAGGCTGACCTTAAGCCCATCTACATGGCTTCGACCCCGTCGCCACTCGTTTGCAAAGATCTCCCAAAAACCCAGAAGAAGGTTCCCTTGCTGTTCAACTCAATGAACTGAGATCTAGAGGAGTTGGCAACGCATGGCATCTTTCGACCCGAACAACTTGACCCAGAGGCACATGAATTTCCTGCTGATTCACAAGCTGTGCATCATTGTGCATCTGTTGGCCTAACCCGTACTTCCCATCTCAAAGCCCAGCGGACCTCCTGTTCGGCAAGCTGCACGTACTCACGTCGCGAGAGGAAACGCTTCTCGTCGTCCGGTCCGCTCTGGACGGAGGGCGGACAAAAGCATGAGCAAAGGATTGAAGGGTTGGGAAGGGCCGTCTTCCACATGAACAGAGGAGCAACTGCAGCCTACACAGTTTGGCCATGTCTAACCCCAACTGAGGTTGAGAAGCCCGAGAGTCGAAATTCGACCCTAAACCCTAAACCCTAAACCGTAAACCCTAAACCCTAAACCCGAAACCCCATCAAGCTACCATCAGCAGCTGCCTTCATCTTGCCGAGCTGCTCCAGAGTGACGCCTGGGACCACCACCTGCAAAGACTGACCCTGGCAGTGACTTACTGTTAGGGCCCGATATATATATATATGTATATATATATATATATGAATATGCTTCCCCCCCCCATTGACCTGTGCGTTTTTGGTGTTTTCGGACCTGCTGGTGAGCATGAGGCATCTGAGACGCCTTTTTTTTCCGAAGAAGCGGACATATGGCTACACCCCCCCCCCCCCCCCCCCCCCCCCAGCCCCATGCCCTTTTTAGGCCTTTTTTAAAAAAAGAACAACGAAGACCCAAAATCGCGTAGTTAATCACCGGGTGTTGAAGGACAGTTATTGGGACACCCACCCCACAAACCCCGATAAGCCAGCATTCTATGCAAATTGTGCGTTTCTGTAGGCGGTTTCTTGTGCATTCTATCCCAGGTAAAAGCCCCTTTCTAGGTTAACACACTACAACTACTGAATCCTGTTAATCCACGGACTCATTCACACACACCAGACAGTACATTTAGTATTCTTCCCAAAATCCCCTTTCTTTCGTCTATCCCGTGCATTCGTTCCTTATTTTCGCACGGGGTTTTGGGTGCGTGCTCACTCATACTATTATTACTGGTAAGGATTATAAGGACGCACGCAGTAATAATAGAAGGGCAAATAATGTTTTGTTGAGCAACTAATGTAATTATACAATTGTGTTTGTACGAGGCAAAGTATTAGTCAAATACTATCCGAAAAGTCCACTGAAATACCTTATGTTTGCACGTTCATGAAACATTTACGTTGAAATAATCATTCTATGCGAATTTAACTACTAGAGCTATTATTAAGCAAATAGCCGACTCAAGTGGATACTATTTAAAGGGCCATACTTGGCAAAGTGTGCGTTTGAAGGGCAAGTAATGCTTGTCAACTAATGTATTTATACAAGTGTGTTTGTACTAGGCAAAGTATTAGTCAGATACCATCTGAAAGTCCACTGCAATACCTTATGTTTACATTCACGAAAAAATTTTTCGTTCGAAATAATCATTCTATGCGAATTTAACTACTAGAGAAGTTATTAGGGAAATAGCCCAATGTTACTCAAGTGAATACTAGTTAAAGGACCATACTCAACCAAAATACGAAATAAACACCATACTCAACCAAAACATGGCAAAGTGTGTGTTCATAGGGCAAATCATGGGCTTTTTTGTGTTTTGGATTTTTTTGGTTTTGGTTGTTTTTTGGTTGTTTTTGTTTGTTTTTGTGTTTTTGTTTTTTTGGGTTTTGGCATTTTTGGTTTTTTCTACTGTCCCGTGTATTCGGATTTTAGTTGTAGTTTAGTCTACGCCCTAGGAAATACGCTATGTAGCACACGAGTTTGCTTGCAGTGCAGCTGGGTGACTTGAGACAAGGCGAAAAAGGGTAGGTCACTGGGGGGTGGGGATGACAGAAAAGAAAGAAAAGGCACGGGTCAATGAAGGGGAACCATGTATTGTATATACCCTTTAAGGGATTATATATACCCTTTAAGGGTAGAGATACATGTATATATATATATACCCTTTAAGGGATTACATAGGGTACCTCATTCCCCCATTCCCGACTAGCCAACAGTAAGCTTACCGCTGCAAGGCCCAGGATGCACGGACAGGGCACCCTCCCCGACGAAGCATTCATGCTACGGTCCTACATGGTCCTACTCATGGCCCTACCCTAAACCCTAAACATCCCTGAAACCTAAACCCTAAATCCTAAACCCTAAACCCTAAACCCGAAACCCTAAACCCTAGACCCTAGACCCTAAACCCTAACCCTAAACCCTAAACCCTAACAAACCCTAACCCTAAACCCTAAACCCTAACCCTAACCCTAAACCTAAACCCTGAGAGGGCGCCATCGTCTCGAGGATCGGGGGCTGCCCATGCTGCAGCTTGGAGAAGCCATCTGTGAACTCTGGTGACGCCTTCAGCACTTTGGCACTTTCGTTTTCAGGTTCAGCTTAGGACCTTTGGTCTTGAGTTGGCGTCCACGGCACGGCAAAGCACATCCTAGAAGTGTGATGTGACAGGCACAACCTACGAGCCACCAAATCTACAGAGATGTCAAACTTGGTCGCCCACGTCCGTTCTCTTAGCTCCTCGTCCACCCCCACGGTGCCTCCCAACACACTCATCCTGTATCTCATTGGCACACTAGAACTCTTTAAGTCTTTACATGAAACTGGCAGCAGGCACGCGACTTACCAAGTCCGCCACCTAAGAGACCTGTACACCACGGAACCACAGTGCCCCTGCTGAGCATACTGCTGAGAATACACAGCCATCCGTCCACAAGAAATCACAAGAATATCAACTTCACCAACACGCTCGCCAAGTGATGCCTCCATGGTTTGCCCTGCTTGCCATCAACAGGCCAACAGGGCCAGGAATATGGAGGCAGCGCAGCACAAGGAGCCAAGCTCAACTTGCCCACGGGCTGTGTAGGACGACACCAACACGGATTTACACCACGAAGCCATAGTGCCCTTGCCATGGTGGGCTGCTGAGAATACACAGCCATCCGTCCACAAGAAATCACAAGAATATCAACTTCACCAACACGCTCGCCAAGTGATGCCTCCATGGTTTGCCCTGCTTGCCATCAACAGGCCAACAGGGCCAGGAATATGGAGGCAGCGCAGCACAAGGAGCCAAACTCAACTTGCTCACGGGCTGTGTAGGACGACACCAACACGGATTTACACCACGAAGCCATGGTGCCCTTGCCATGGTGGGCTGCTGAGAATACACAGCCATCTGTCCACAAGAAATCACAAGAATATCAACTTCACCAACACGCTCGCCAAGTGATGCCTCCATGGTTTGCCCTGCTTGCCATCAACAGGCCAACAGGGCCAGGAATATGGAGGCAGCGCAGCACAAGGAGCCAAACTCAACTTGCCCACGGGCTGTGTAGGACGACACCAACGCTCGCCTGCTTGCCCTCAACAGGCCAACAGGGCCAGGAATATGGAGGCAGCGCAGCACAAGGAGCCAAACTCAACTTGCCCACGGGCTGTGTAGGACGACACCAACACAGATTTACACCACGAAGCCATAGTGCCCTTGCCATGGTGGGCTGCTGGGAATACACAGCCATCCGTCCACAAGAAATCACAAGAATATCAATTTCACCAACACGCTCGCCAAGTGATGCCTCCATGGTTTGCCCTGCTTGCCATCAACAGGCCAACAGGGCCAGGAATATGGAGGCAGCGCAGCACAAGGAGCCAAACTCAACTTGCCCACGGGCTGTGTAGGACGACACCAACACGGATTTACACCACGAAGCCATGGTGCCCTTGCCATGGTGGGCTGCTGAGAATACACAGCCATCCGTCCACAAGGAATCACAAGAATATCAACTTCACCAACACGCTCGCCAAGTGATGCCTCCATGGTTTGCCCTGCTTGCCATCAACAGGCCAACAGGGCCAGGAATATGGAGGCAGCGCAGCACAAGGAGCCAAACTCAACTTGCCCACGGGCTGTGTAGGACGACACCAACACGGATTTACACCACGAAGCCATGGTGCCCTTGCCATGGTGGGCTGCTGAGAATACACAGCCATCCATCCAAGTGATGCCTCCATGGTTTGCCCTGCTTGCCATCAACAGGCCAACAGGGCCAGGAAAATGGAGGCAGCGCAGCACAAGGAGCCAAACTCAACTTGCCCACGGGCTGTGTAGGACGACACCAACACGGATTTACACTACGAAGCCATGGTGCCCTTGCCATGGTGGGCTGCTGAGAATACACAGCCATCCGTCCACAAGAAATCACAAGAATATCAACTTCACCAACACGCTCGCCAAGTGATGCCTCCATGGTTTGCCCTGCTTGCCATCAACAGGCCAACAGGGCCAGGAATATGGAGGCAGCGCAGCACAAGGAGCCAAACTCAACTTGCCCACGGGCTGTGTAGGACGACACCAACACGGATTTACACCACGAAGCCATGGTGCCCTTGCCATGGTGGGCTGCTGAGAATACACAGCCATCCGTCCACAAGAAATCACAAGAATATCAACTTCACCAACACGCTCGCCAAGTGATGCCTCCATGGTTTGCCCTGCTTGCCATCAACAGGCCAACAGGGCCAGGAATATGGAGGCAGCGCAGCACAAGGAGCCAAACTCAACTTGCCCACGGGCTGTGTAGGACGACACCAACACGGATTTACACCACGAAGCCATGGTGCCCTTGCCATGGTGGGCTGCTGAGAATACACAGCCATCCGTCCACAAGAAATCACAAGAATATCAACTTCACCAACACGCTCGCCAAGTGATGCCTCCATGGTTTGCCCTGCTTGCCATCAACAGGCCAACAGGGCCAGGAGCCATATGGAGGCAGCGCAGCACAAGGAGCCAAACTCAACTTGCCCACGGGCTGTGTAGGACGACACCAACACGGATTTACACCACGAAGCCATGGTGCCCTTGCCATGGTGGGCTGCTGAGAATACACAGCCATCCCACAAGAAATCACAAGAATATCAACTTCACCAACACGCTCGCCAAGTGATGCCTCCATGGTTTGCCCTGCTTGCCATCAACAGGCCAACAGGGCCAGGAATATGGAGGCAGCGCAGCACAAGGAGCCAAACTCAACTTGCCCACGGGCTGTGTAGGACGACACCAACACGGATTTACACCACGAAGCCATGGTGCCCTTGCCATGGTGGGCTGCTGAGAATACACAGCCATCCGTCCACAAGAAATCACAAGAATATCAACTTCACCAACACGCTCGCCAAGTGATGCCTCCATGGTTTGCCCTGCTTGCCATCAACAGGCCAACAGGGCCAGGAATATGGAGGCAGCGCAGCACAAGGAGCCAAACTCAACTTGCCCACGGGCTGTGTAGGACGACACCAACACGGATTTACACCACGAAGCCATGGTGCCCTTGCCATGGTGGGCTGCTGAGAATACACAGCCATCCATCCACAAGAAATCACAAGAATATCAACTTCACCAACACGCTCGCCAAGTGATGCCTCCATGGTTTGCCCTGCTTGCCATCAACAGGCCAACAGGGCCAGGAATATGGAGGCAGCGCAGCACAAGGAGCCAAACTCAACTTGCCCACGGGCTGTGTAGGACGACACCAACACGGATTTACACCACGAAGCCATGGTGCCCTTGCCATGGTGGGCTGCTGAGAATACACAGCCATCCGTCCACAAGGAATCACAAGAATATCAACTTCACCAACACGCTCGCCAAGTGATGCCTCCATGGTTTGCCTTGCTTGCCATCAACAGGCCAACAGGGCCAGGAATATGGAGGCAGCGCAGCACAAGGAGCCAAACTCAACTTGCCCACGGGCTGTGTAGGACGACACCAACACGGATTTACACCACGAAGCCATGGTGCCCTTGCCATGGTGGGCTGCTGAGAATACACAGCCATCCGTCCACAAGAAATCACAAGAATATCAACTTCACCAACACGCTCGCCAAGTGATGCCTCCATGGTTTGCCCTGCTTGCCATCAACAGGCCAACAGGGCCAGGAATATGGAGGCAGCGCAGCACAAGGAGCCAAACTCAACTTGCCCACGGGCTGTGTAGGACGACACCAACACGGATTTACACCACGAAGCCATGGTGCCCTTGCCATGGTGGGCTGCTGAGAATACACAGCCATCCGTCCACAAGAAATCACAAGAATATCAACTTCACCAACACGCTCGCCAAGTGATGCCTCCATGGTTTGCCCTGCTTGCCATCAACAGGCCAACAGGGCCAGGAATATGGAGGCAGCGCAGCACAAGGAGCCAAACTCAACTTGCCCACGGGCTGTGTAGGACGACACCAACACGGATTTACACCACGAAGCCATGGTGCCCTTGCCATGGTGGGCTGCTGAGAATACACAGCCATCCGTCCACAAGAGGAAATCACAAGAATATCAACTTCACCAACACGCTCGCCAAGTGATGCCTCCATGGTTTGCCCTGCTTGCCATCAACAAGCCAACAGGGCCAGGAATATGGAGGCAGCGCAGCACAAGGAGCCAAACTCAACTTGCCCACGGGCTGTGTAGGACGACACCAACGCGGATTTACACCACGAAGCCATGGTGCCCTTGCCATGGTGGGCTGCTGAGAATACACAGCCATCCGTCCACAAGAAATCACAAGAATATCAACTTCACCAACACGCTCGCCAAGTGATGCCTCCATGGTTTGCCCTGCTCGCGAGAAGTTTGCAGCGACACCGCTAACACGCCGTGTCCTCCTCCAAATGTTCGGACTGCTGACGCCCTTTGCGCTTTTGTCCGTGCTTTCCCTCGGATTAGTACGGCAGTCTAAGTCTTGCTCTGCGGGTTCTGGCCTTCTTGGCCGCTGCTTGGCCTTGGGGGCGGCCATCGTCGTTCCTTCGAAACACCAGGGCACAGAGGGAGTCCCTGCAGAGATGTCGAAGCCCGGCTTCCCCCCCTGCACTGCCAGGGACGCGGCCGAGGGCCGCCTTGTCATCCTGGGCTCCATCCGGGTTCCGTTCGGTTTTTTCAGGCTTTCGGGGGACTGAGGAGTCGCGGACAGAGGCTGCGAGGGTTTCGTTCGTAAGCCTTCGTAAGCTCTTTCGCTTTGGTCGACGTGGCAGCAGCAATAATAAAAGTCGCAGCAGGACAGAGGAGAAAGGAGTGATCCAGCGACACCCGCCCGCCACACCCGGGCCCATGCGACCCACGGGCCGAACTGGCAGGCAAATGGATAAAGTTTAGGATGGTTTTGGCCTTGGACACAGGACACAGACACTTGCTAAAGGTTACTGTGACAAGCTTCAATGACAGAAGCAACTCAAAGGCAGACTCTTTGGAGAAGACTTCCGGCTGCTGTAAAGCAACGGTAACATGAATCGAAACATGCAATTTTGCACATTGTAACATGTAGTAACATGTAGCAGCATGTGGCAACCACAATCAGAATGAAGCCTGTCCCCTAAACCCATGAGCCCCCACCAAACCGCTCATAACGATGGAGCCGCCAACCTGAACCTGAAGCCCAGCGTCTCGGAGGCTCTTCGGCTCGCGCTTGACCGAGTAGCCGAAAGCCTCGACAAGCCTGGGAAGCTTCTGGAAAATTGTAAAACTCTTGCGACAGAGTACATGTATTCTAGACATATATATATATATGTATATATACAGATGTTACAATTGTCAATATTTATCTGCTTTCCGCTAGAAGTCATATATATATATATATATATATATAGTGATAATGTAATTGACTAATCACTAAACATGCGATGGTAGACAATAGAGATCATACATGTAATCTTTTGATTTTACGTGGGCTCTGAGGTTGGTGCTTCGGCAGGCGCTCGGGCTTCAGCTCGTCGACCCAGATGAGGTTGCCCTGCGTTGAACTTGGGGCAGGGGAGAGGAGGGGGGATTTGTCGGACACATCAGACAACTCGTAAGGGGAAGAAGGGTGCAGCCAGGGTTAGGGTATAGGCAGTAGGGTTTAAGGTTCGTTTAGGGTTTAGGGTTTAGGGTTTAGGGTTTAGGGTTTAGGGCTTAGGGCTTAGGGCTTAGGGCTTAGGGCTTAGGGCTTAGGGCTTAGGGCTTAGGGCTTAGGGCTTAGGGAGTGACAAGGCAACATACCCTTCGCATGTCTGTTGTGCTCGCCTCGGTGTCGAAAGTGTGCGGCCGCTTCGACATCTCCTCATGAAGCTGCTGCACCTGAGGGATACAAAGGGTTTAGGGTTCAGGGTTCAGGGTTCAGGGTTCAGGGTTCAGGGTTTAGGGTTTAGGGTTCCGGGTTTAGGGTTAGGAACAACTACCACATGGGTAGTTCTCTAAGTTCGGGTCCCTGTAAAGGGGTCCTTATTCGAAGGGTGCCGTTCTGTATATGAAACCCATGGGCGCAAGGAGCCCGAGTCTTGGGTGTTGGGTCGGAGGTCTACACTGTGCATACTGTCTAGACCGGAAATGGCACAGAAAGGCCGAATGCCTGCCTTTCGCCTCTCCTCCTCCTGCGTCTTCTCGGACTCCTTGCAGGGAGCCCAAAACAAGAAACGCAGGCGCCAGGCGCGTGAGGCATGCGACAAAAGAAAGAAGCGAAGGAAAGGGGGCAGAAAGGGGGCAGAAAGGCGAGAGCATCTTTTGCGCTGCTGCCAAACACTCGAGCATGCGCTAAAGGACGTAAGCAAGTCCAAGTGGCCACAGCCTTCTGAACCCCAGTTCGACAAGGCTGAACCCTCAGCGGGAGCATCCGCTGGTAACACCAGATGCAACGTACTGTACACTGCACTATACACTGTACATCACTGTACACTACAAAACCATCTAGGCAGAAGTCCTCCCAATGTCGGAGCGCAAGCGTCGGAAGCTGCTTTTTGACGTCGCACAGTCGGAAGTGGAGCTGATGCCGGCCGCAGGGCCATTGGTCACAGCCGCAACCATGTCAGATATGTCGGCTGCGCAAAGTGATCTCTGATCGGTCACCACCTGACAGTCCGCCCCAGCCAAGGCCGTGAACTGGGAGATCCACGCGAAGGATGAGATGATGTTCATGATCCCCACAGCACATGCTCTAGGGTCTGGGCAGGCACGGCCGGCGGTCCGAATCTGAAGGATGGCTCGCACGATGTAGGAGGCAGAGTTGGTTACATCCATGACGCACTGCGTGATGTCGAAGTCCCTGTTGCGGCTGGCCTCCTGGCTTTTCTTGATCGCAAGGATCTTCTCGGCCTCGGGTCCGGCGCCGCTCGGGACGAGCTGCGTCCGTGGAGGGGCGACCGGATCCGGCTTTATGAGGGCCGTGATCGCGCTCTTGTCGAAGTCGCAGTCCACCGTCACCGCTGCAGCTACCGTCGCCATCTCGCCAAAGTTGGCCATGAGAGCTGTGAAGTCACCTGTGCCAGAATGGCTGGTTTAAAGGCTGCACTCCATTGCACTTCCAAGCTGAAATGCACTTTATATAAGCCCCTTGCTTTGGCCCGTCTGTGCCTGCGCAGAGCGCGCCCGAATTCACAGCCTGGCCACAAGCGCTGGCCGCGAATGACAAGTACGAGGCAATCCAGGCGATGGATGTGACAAAGCCGGTGATGCTGGTGGCGCAGCCCTCTGCAGAGTTGTCAGGACACTCGAGGCCAGCCTGGGCAGCATGATAAACACAAACGAAGCCCCCCGCCTTGTTTCACATGAGCCACCCGAGACATTGAAAAAAAAACAACCCTCAAATAGTTGCAACAGGCGCGGAATAGTTCTATCAGCTGAGCAGCATAATCGATGGCCTTGTAGAGGCACACAACAGCCTGGCCCAGGTAGGCCACCGCCTGAACGGTGTCGATCGTGCACTCGGAACGGATCCAGGGGTGCTTGGTGGGCAAGTTGGTCAAGGACTGCGCCTTCTTCATGAGCTTCTCCATCCCTGGGAGTTCCTCCCAATCCTGAACCGCGCCTCTGCGCTCAGCGGAAGCAGAGAGCAGGGCCCCAGAGGACGAGCACGCTGCGGCCGCGCCGGCGATCGCAAGCAGCGTGACGCCCGCACCAACCAGGTGCCAGCGAGGGGCCCTGCGCGCTTCTGACATCTCGTTTGCCTGGCATTCGATGCAGCTGGCGACCATGGCTATCGATGTCTTCCGGTTGGACACTGGGAGCCTCGTGGAATGAGCAAGACTTTCCTTCATGGGTTTGTGATACAACTGCAGGGCACACGAAGAGGGCTAGTTAAAGGGCGCCAAGAGATGAGCACACCACGGTACACCGTACGCACGGGGGTGCAAGGCAAGTGTCCAGTTCACATCGCCACACAACCCGCACAGAATCCCGGCTGTCAGAGTGTGAGCCACCCTGCACTTCCCTGCTGGCTACGCTTGCAGCCTCACCAGGCCTTGGCAAGGCGTTCTTTATCCCTTTTTCTCGCCTCCTCTTGAGCTTTGGCCTGGGCGAAACTAGGCACATGAAGTTTTCTCGTGCAGCTTGGTGTCAGATGCTAGCCTTGTTCCTAGGCCATGTGCGGAGGCATGCAAAGAGCCGCAGGGAAGCACATCACACACAAAGCAACGACGGCTTTCTCGGTCGTCGAGGTCCCGACCTCCCGCATCCGCTCTTCTTCAGGATCCACAAGGTGCTCACTCTCGAGCACGAAGATCCTGGCTGCAAGACAGCCGCTTGGCTGCTTGTAATGAGGTGGAGGTCGAATCGGGGATGCGATTAGCAGGATCCCTCAGGATCTTGCACAAACGATGCTGCCAGTGTTGCAAGGCAGGGGATATGGCCCCGCAAGGCAAACTACCCTGGGTCCTGGGTGGCTGGTCGGTTGGCTTCCTTGGCATCTCAGGAGCATTGCATTGCTGGCCCCTGTATGCTGAAGTGATGTGTCCCAAGTGCTGCATCCATGGCCCGCTCCCAGCTAAAATTGCTGCCAGGGGGCTCCTTGACGGAAGACAGCCCACTGGCGGCCTGCTAAGCAGCCGAAGTTATCGTCCACCCCCCAAGCTGTTGCAGCTCATCTACCCAAGCACTGCTCCGTGACAGCAGCCTTGGGCCGCGAGGAGCTTGCGAGCTGGCCTGGCAGACTGCCCAATACTGCCAATCTGTCAGAACAAGCCCTAAGCCCTAAGCCCTAAGCCCTAAGCCCTAAGCCCTAAGCCCTACACCCTAAGCCCTAAGCCCTAAGCCCTAAGCCCTAAGCCCTAAGCCCTAAGCCCTAAGCCCTAAGCCCCAAGCCCCAAGCTAAAGGGCCTCGTCGCGGCTTGCCCGGCAATTTTGCTCCGGACGTCGAGGCCTGCACAGGCTCCAGGAGTCCAATTGGCGCGGACGGGACCCTAAGGATGTCCTTATACTAACAGCCCCTAACGAATAGGGATTATAGTGGGGGGTACTAACAGCCCTTAATTCATAGGGATTATCATGGGGGGGTACTAACAGCCCTTAATTCATAGGGATTATAACAGCCCTTAATTCATAGGGATTATACAATGGGGGGTACTAACAGCCCTTAATTCATAGGGATTAGAATGGGGGGGTACTAACAGCCCTTAATTAATAGGGATTATCCTGGGGGGTACTAACAGCCCTTAATTCATAGGGATTAGAATGGGGGGGGGCTACTATATTCCCTACTAAGGGCTGCCAGGGGGGGGGAGCATCCCAACCCTCAACCCTAAACACATCTGATCCTCGTCAGCTTTCCCACTGCGTCGAACAGGCAGATGCATTCGCCTCACTGCTCCGTACTTGAAGGTTCATGGGCAGTTCTAAGTAGGGTTATAAGTACCTACAATAAGCTTATAACCAGTTCTATTTACATTACCCTGCTTGTAACCCCACACACTATGTGCAAGAGTGTGATCTCGGACCCAAGTTCGTATGGGCTTCCAGCTCATGCATCTGGCAAGTTTACACAAGAACCTGTGCTAAGCATGCACCTCCAAACCTCATAGCCCGTCGCATTCTCAATAGTAGTTTCATTGTAGCTCGAAAGAGAACAAATGGAAGGCTTGACAAGCACTCCGCAAACGTCTGATTGTTTTCTGTGAGCGCAAGGGACAACGACAGCATCGCATGTCTATCCAGAACTATCAGGCCACAATGAATTACACCACCTTCTGCTCTAGCCTGACTCATAGCTTACAACTTGCTTGAGGCATGTATAAAGAAGTGCAAAGGCTGAACACCGCAGGAGCTTAGTCGTAGAGACTGATGGCCATACTGCACCAAGGAACGCCCAGCTGTCAATCTCGCAGGGTTGAGGCTCCTTCGTCAGGTTTGTGCAGCTTGGGTCAGGGCTGCGGGCTCTGCAACGTCTGCAACATGAAGCAGCAACCGAAAGAGATCGGGCTCGCATTCTTCGCAGTATTCGCATTCGGCGTTTTGAATCCAACCTGAACGATGTGCTGTGTCTTGTGCCGGAGGTTCGCCGCTGTTCTTGTTTTCAGTACTGTTCTTGTTCGAGAGCTCTTGGACGTAGAAGAGAAGGCAACCAGAACCCCGCTCCGAACAGCGCAGCCCTCTTTCTGTCAGCGACCCGGCGCCTCTTCTATGTTCCACTCCGGGCCTGCGCCACTGGACTCACTGGACACTTCTTGGAGCCCACCAGAACAGCGGGGGAGGGGGGGGGGAGGGGGGAGAGGGGGGAAAAAGCCCTTCAACCCGGCCTCGCAGCGCCCCGTCTTCTGCAAGTTCCCCTGCATCATGGCTCACGTAGCACCTTCGCGACGCGCGGAGGAGCTTACGGGCACTGCAGGGGGGCACTTCTAACCCATTAGAACCTTTTTTTAAAGAACCCCAAATCCTAGAGAGTAAGGCCATGCCATGCCCCCACACCCCTCCCCCTTTTGAGGGAAGGCGCATCCGAAGCCGGCTGACCAAGGCGTCGGAGATGGCATTGGAGGCGAAAGAGAAGGCCTGCAAAGAGGGCTCATGTTCCATGAGGTCTTGAAAGCACGGCAGCCCTAAAACCCAAAAAAAGAACCATGCAAGTCAACAACACGAAGCTCCCCAAACCAAAAGCTCCATTCTAGCAGACGCTGAAAGAACGCCCCAAAACAAGCAGCGGGAAATCAACAGCAAATCCTACGAAATGGCCGGAGACCAGAAGGTTCATGGGTAGTTATAATTAGGGTTACAAGTACCCTAAATCAGGTTATAACCAATTATAAGTACAGTTACCCTACTTTATCACCCCACTTATAACTACCCATGAACCTCCAAGTAGAGCGGGCACCGGACCCTCTCCCAAGAACGTCACGAGCGTCCCAAGTTTTGGATTCTTAACACACATGATTCTTAAGATTTACAGCATTGTTAACGGGGGCACCTTCCTCTCGAGATACTTCTGCCACAGCAGCGTGCCACCATCGGTGAGGATCCTTAAGGGGGTCGGCTCGTTTTGGCCGGGGATGCTTCAAGAATCCACGACTTCCCCCATGCACAGTCCCAACCCTCACAGCCTTAAGCAAAATGAAATGTTGAGGCTGGCGCTGGTCAATCGTAGCAGCGACAGCCTGGTCCAGGGAGTTGCTCCCTTCAGGATACATGGGGCCGCTCATAGGGGGACTTCAAAAGCAAAATGGGCAGTCTCAGATCGAGCACACAATGATTTGGGGTTTGCGAGAACAGGGGACCCCCAATGTCCCTTGATAACAAGAACCCCAAACAAGGTCCCCTAACTTAGGAAACCCCCCAAATTTGGTGTCTACGAACCAACAGAACAAGACCCGGCCTCTTCTGCTCCACAGATGCCACGGCCAAACTCAGCCCATGGTCCTGGGATGCCAGGTGCGCTGTACTTTCGGCACCGATTTAGGGGTTTTTAGGGGTTTAGGGTTTAGGGTTTGGGGTTTGGAGTTTGGGGTTTAGGGTTTAGGGTTTCGAAACCACCTTGCAGGCACCGAACTGAGGCCCACATAAGAGCTCAAGATTCCAGATCCTTCTGCTTCTTCGAGCCCTCCCTTTTCCCCCCCCCAAAACCGTGCCAAGGGCGCCCCATGGGGATCTTTCTGGCAGCTCCATGGCGGAACAGAGGCGCTGGGAGGCGCTGGGGGAGTTTCAGAGTTTCGGGAACGCGGCTTTGGGAGGTGGGGTTTCGGGTGACGTATGGGGCTGGGTGTGGGCTGAGTCTGAAGCGACTTGTGGACTTTCTGTGTTCCCTGGTCACTGGAAGGGCTTCGAGCGGAAAGGCGGCGGCAGGCGGCTCTCCGCGCAAAAGGCCGCCGCACTTCAAAGCTATGCGCTGCTGCAAGGCTCCCATGTCAGCAAGAAGCATCAGGGTGCGCACCTTCCGGCAGTTCACCTGATTTCGCCGCATCATTGCCTCATGTGCCAGATTGCCCCGGATTGACACGAGGAACGGCACCTTTTCACTTCCCAACAAGAAGGCCCTGCTGCACAACCCAGCCGGTCAGTATCAAGGTATCAAAGAGGGATAGGCAGTGAAGAAGACATTGCCCTGATGCATAAGCCCGACATTTCCTGCTACCAAAGCAGCACTGACTTCACGGCGCTTCTCCATCACCTGCCACGAGGCTCTTTCGGACTCCATCTGTTTAGGGGTTCAGGGGTGTAGGGGTTCAGGGTTTCGGTTTTCGAGTTTCTACAAGCCAGCAACTCTATGTTGCCCTCGAGCGCCCTGCCTCCAACTCCTCGAGCTCTTTTGAGCTGAGGCAGCGCTTCACTACACTCTTCCGCGATAGCCTCAGGACAGGATGGGAAGGCAAACATCAATGGTGTGATGCTCACTTGCTTGTCACCCAGATGGTTTCCTCCAATATTGCACGGTGTCTGGTGGGCTGGACATCCATGGAATTCACCCACCTGACCAAGAACCGTGCTGCGTCAAGCGGGAAACATTGCTTGCTTCCGAGTACCTGCAACTGACAGCGTCTAGGGAGTCCAACGACAGTAGTCTTTTGGAATCTTGGGTCATTGAGAAGGATCCCCTCAAATGAGGGATATACATGAAAAACGTGCTTGAATCACATGTATGTATGCAAAGATACTCATATATGTGCATAAACACATGTACAGTCAAAGCTAAGACATCCTGAACCCAGGCAACACAACCCTCATCCGTAAACCCTGACAAAGCTTCACCGAAAAAAACAGTACCCTCCAATGGGAGGGTGGAGGGGGTGAGAGGGGCACACGCTGAACTTCTCAGAGCAAACGGAGGGGCAGAGGTCGTCCGCATCTTCCAAGCGCTTGTCCTCTGTCACGTGCCAAGGTCGCCGCGATTTGGTGCGCAGGGTTCAGAAAGCCAAAACATGCCAAAACCTGAAAAAAAAAAAAAAAAACACCAACAGCAATGGCCCTTGGCTTGTCACAGCTCGCGCGCTCGCGCGCGTTGCTTTTGTCTTGGGGGGGGGAGGGAGCGAATCTCGGCTGGATCAACAAAAGCCCTGGGCCTGCGAGCCACGGGCAGTCTGCGGAGCGGGAGCCTCAAGAGCCAGATCAGACTTAGGAAGAATGGGCCCAGTACGAGCACCGGTGCAGTACTCCATCAACCTGAACTAAAAAGCGGAACACGACTGGAGCATGCCTCACCTAGGAAATCCTAGGAAAGGGCCTGATGCAACCCCCCGGTTTTTGTGGGCATGGCCTCGCGGGACTTCGGTGTGCGCGGGGAGCGCATCTTCATCCTGCAACAGAGGGGGGGCGCTCTTACAGGGCTAAATGCAGGTGCCAGATGTGGAGCGCGAGAATTCTGAGATGAAAAAATATATTTCTGGGCAGAATGATGTCGGCTCGTAGTGGCAGTTCGTGTAGCAGGTGCATCCTGGACTGTTGCGCAACTGGACCGCAGCTCTGCAGGTGCCCCCGTCCCAAGTCTTCCTTACAGGTTTAGGGGTTATAGGATATCACGGCTATAGGGGAATCGGAAAGGGCGACGCCATGTGACGACTGCGTTGCGTCTGAGCCCCCAGGCGGGCGCGGAGATAGCAGAAAATACCTGCGAGGACATGAATGACATGATATGACATGCATCGCCCCTACTCGCCGAAGTTGAGGAGGAGCAAAGGGCTCATCGAGCATGAAACCGACATGCGCCACTGAAAGAGCCGAGCTGGAAGCCACAACGAAAGCCCCAAAAGGAGCCCCGACTTTCTAGCCGTTTTTATGAACCCCCCCCCCCCAGAAGGACCGCTTTTGGTTGAAGGACCTGCTCCGAAGCAAGGCTTTCAGTCAAAAGCCCTCTGGGATGCTGACTGGCAGCGGCCGCCCTCCTGCAAGCGCTGCTTGTTTTGGGGGGTTTCAGTCAGTTTAGGGTTTCGGGTTTCGGGTTTCGGGTTTCGGGTTTAAGGTTTCGGGTTTAGGGCTTAGGGTTTAGGGGATTACCAGGGGAGAGCGAGGCTCCAAGCCCGAGCATCACAAGCAAAGGGGGGGGTGTAGACTCAACCGAATCGCAGAAAGCCTCTCTCGCCTGCATTGCCTCTGGCGTCGAGCCCTCTTGCCTGCAAGAGAACTCTCAGCATTCACCAAGGGCCCACTCCTCTGCCCCGGACTTGCGGCGGGATGGCGAGCTCATGGCCCTGCGAAGCAAAAAAACCACCAAGAAAACAGTCCGAGAAGTTCAGGGGCCAAAAAGCAGGAAAGTCCCCAGAAGCCTTACCAGCTATGGAACCCTAAAGAATGCACTAGCCGCACCTTGGAGTACAAAGCAGCACCAAGAGAACCTCCTGGCTGAGCTTCGTTGTGCTCTCTGCATCTGCTCTGCATTGCTGCATATTGCCCGCTTTGACATGGACTGATGGCACGACGGATGGCATGTGGTGAGCTCAACCGAACTTTAAGCATGCCTAACGCCTGGCCGCAAGCCAATTGAGCCCACACCCACAGTTCATCAGAAAAGTAGACAAAATCGTCGTGCAACTCCTGACTGCGGTCTGCGGCCCTTAACGGCGTGTGAGAGGAGGCGACACCCTGAAGCCGTCACAGGCAATACGGACTTTTCCGTTTGCGGTAAAGAGCGGGTGAATTCACTATAGAAAAGATTGAATCAATTCCAGGTCGGCCCTGGACATGTCAGAGACTCAGACTCATGAAGGCATGTAAATGCATTCCAAGCAAAGAGTCCTTCGGTTGTTGACATTGGCAGGACCTTGAGCGTGATGCGGTGTTCCACGATATCCTTCTTTCATTCTTAAGCCAATGATCTTCAGAAGTACCTAAACCCCAAACCCCAAACCCTAAACCCTGAACCCTAAATCCTAAACCCCAAACCCTAAACCCTAAACCCTAACCCCCCCCACAAGCTCTGCTCTTGGCCCTCTCCGAATTGCCAGCGCCGAAAGGTGGCCACATGAGAGTGTGGCTGAAACCACGTCTGGGTACCGCTTAGCATGCTGCCCAGCATTTTCGCGTCAACAAATCTGCAATGATCTCCCTCCAACCTTTACACCTCTGGGTGAGTCTCAGCCACACTCCTTTCGGCTAGTCACTACAAGCGCAGGCGTCAAGGGAAGCGAACGACATCACGTAACGTAGACATGAGTACCTTGCATTGCTCGCAACGACCAGTGGTAGTCGCACACACATTTACTCTTGATCGTCCCCCGCCCCCTGAAGATGCAAATGGCAATTTTGTACAGGGGCGCCTGCAGGGCACGCAGGCTCTCCATCGGCAGATACGAATCAATCAGCACGCCCAAAGGAGGTCAATCCCACTTCCCTCCAATAATTTCCACTGCATCTGCAAAGCGTGTGCTGGGCAGTGCGTGAGAAGCCGCAGGCATCAGGTCCCCTGAAATGCTTAAGCTGCCTAAGGTGCCGAAGTCGGAAAGTGGGGCAGCTTTGGGCTAAGCTGGCCTCCATGGGCTGCGAGTGTGTACAACATGTACAACTGAGCGGCGAGTGGCGAGCGGCTACTGTTGAGCCCTCGAACCCATCGCAATCGCAGTGGCCAAGCCCAAGCCGAGCTGAAGCAGCCGGAACTTTGCACCCCCTACACCTCGGGAGAATTTTGGCCCTCTTAGGAAATTAGAAAATTGCAGAGAGCTCATCATTACCTCAGGTGCAACGAATGCAGAGACCCTCGGACATGGCTGGTGGCCAAAGCTCGAAAAAACGACCGTTGAGGTCGTGCGACACATGAACGTCGCCTGCCTCTCCACGAGGCGATCCTGTGGGTGGACAGCCCCTGGGACAGTAGCCACCATATGTCCCCATAAACCTAGTGCGAAAACTAATCACAATATTGCCATTTGCTCAGTTGACAATATACCACTGTACTCATACAGTAATATAAGAATATACCAAGAAACCAATATAGCTGTATAACAACGTAGCAAAATATTCACGTGCTAATATACTCACATACTTATTTTCTAATATACTAATTTCCTAATATACTAATTTCCTAATATACGAATTTCCTAATATACTTATATACAAATATACTAGTATACTAATATACTAATGTACGAATATACTAATATACCAATATACTAATATACTAAAATACTGATAGACTGATATTGCTATACTTATTTCTTTTTACAAACATACTAATATACGAATATACTAATATACAAATATAATATAGAAACATATTGATACAATAACATAATCATAGAATAATGTAATCATATACGAATATATTAACATGATAAGAATACTATGAAAAAAAAACATACTCGAAATTAATAAAATCCAATAATCTAATGATCGGATAATCAAATAATGTAATCATATAATCATGTAATTCATATACTCATATAATCATACAATCATACGACCATATGGTCATACAATCATATAAACATATAACCATATAATCATATAATCATATAACCATATGATCCTGTGCCACGATCATCTCATGTCACTGCCGTGGCAGATTCCCTTAAAAGCCGCCAGGTATAAACTTCATAAGTAGCAATCTGCGCCCATGGAGCCTCCCAATACTGTGTGAACGGCTCACGCGTGTCCACACTAGGTCAAACTAAGTCAAGTTTTGCTCATCAGCTAGATGGCCGCTGCTCCGTAGCCTGCACCAGACTAGCAGCCAAGAGCGAAACTTCGTTCATCGTCACTGCCAGGAAGCGGCAGCAGCCACCAGCTTCTCGCATTGCTATAGAAACCATGTTGGAACTTGTCGGGCGGCCATCTACCGCCCGAACAGCGTCGGAAACGACGGGCTTCCGAGAACGGTGCCCACTTACAAGATTCCAGGCATACCCTGGTGCCAGAAGCCGTTTCTAAAGCTGTACGATCTCTGGCGTTTGTTGCCTTGCAACACAGTATTGAGACGACATACTCATATTTGCCGATGTTCACAACATACACCACTGCAGCTAGATTTCGCGTTGTTTCTGATCCGCCTGCCACCCAGCGACTGAAATTTCTACGCATTCTACTTCGCAATGTTTGCGACAGCGATTGGGTAAGCTGTAAGGGCTTCCCCCTACCCCAGTACGGCCATGTTGACAATCACCACTTGTTTGACTATCCAACTCGTGGGCCCACTTGCGGTTCCCGACGCAACCCAGCGAACTGCTGGCTCCTTGCACTTCGTGGCCTTCGGCCACTCGGACCCTACAGATACTCGCTCCACGCGACATCTGAGATTCCAAGATCTCTACACATCACCGGGGCCACCAGCTGTCACGAAGCTACGTTGAGCACAAGGCTTTCGCCAAGCCAGCCTCAACGCGATGAACCTGGTCCGGGCCCGACGAGAGGGGCTCAAGAGATGCCAGAGATCCCAGAGATAAGCTGGGAAGAAATCACCCTTCTTGTCGCTGGGATCAAGAGAAGGCCCCCCCCCCCTCCTCAGAAGATTAGAAGGAGAGAGAAGGCTCGCCCCACCTCCAAGGCATCCGAAGCGAAGCGCTCGCCTGCAGTCATTGGGTGGCGGCACCGCTCCCGGCAAGTTTTTCTCAAACTCTTCAACAGGCCACTCTGTTATGCTATGTTCCACCCTTAACCTGCCGAGTGGCTTGTCAGCGGCATGAGGTAGCCTTTCGGAAGCTTCAGAGCTGCCAAGCGAGCTTCACAACTCCTGCTGAGCCCTGCTCACACTCCCGAAACACAATGGCTTCGAACCACAACTGTCCAAGTGATACGCTTCTAGATAAGTGCCCAGACCCTAAACCCTAAACCCTAACCCCTAAGTCCTAAAACCTCTAAACCCTAAACCCTAACCGCGGAATGAGATGAGCGGGGGACCCATGAGCTGGCGCCCCCGCGCAGCAAGGCGGCGGTCCAC